GAGTCGCAAAATCCGTCCCACAACATGCCCCGAAGCTACAGCAGCTAGCGTCTTCTTCATGACGAAAGGCAAGCGCTCATGGCCAGTTCTTGTCGTGCTTGCACTAGCTTGTATGCTATCACGACCCGCACCTTTATCCATAAGTCAAGTCCGGAAGCATGCGGTCGAGCTATGCCCCCGGCTCCTCCAGAATCTGAAACACGCACGTACGCACCTTTGTAGAACAGTGCACCATCCCCACCAATAGTCTTTCCCTCCTCGCAGTCCAGCAAATCAAACACCGCAACACAGAGCCCTACATCCGGCAACACCTTGTTTGCGTACTTTGTGTTCAGAACAATCTTGATGGCTTTGTGAGGCGCAAGTGCAAAGTGTGGTGGTGAGACCCGAGCTATGTCGTTGATGAGGGCTAGTTGGAACATCCCTGAATGCTGAAGAAATCGACCGCGCTGCTGGTCCTGGCGGATGTAGATGCAAAGAGCGCCAAAGGACGATCACCACAGCCGCGGTGAAGTGTCAGTAGTCTACCCGAGGCAGCAGCTAAGACGGACTTGTGTATGCCGCCAGAGTTGTCAAGCTTTCTTCAGCGAAGTGGCTATAATCCAGCTCGAGAGAATAGGCCTCGTTCGATGGGGCGAAGTAGAAAGAGATCGGACGTGTCCATGTGTCGATGCTTGTGTGGCAAGGCCGATCGGATGAATATGACAGCCGTAAAGTCACAGTGTGCGTGCAGCGAAATGTCCGTTGAGATGTCAGCTGTCGTGTGCGAGTCACGCATGTCACTAAGCGAGCTGAGGTAGCCAGCTTATGTAGCCCACAGGTGACAATCGTCAGTCATGAGTGTGTGTCCAATTCGACATGAGCGGACTCAAGACGTCGATGGTTGGATGCATGCCCGTCCACAAACGGAGAAGCACAAGCGCGCAGCTGCAAAACCGCTCCGACCAGAAATCTCTCGGCCGATAAAACACGAAGGCGCTTTCTGTCGTTTCGCGCATCAAGGACAAACGAGATATTCGATGCATTCAACATAAGGTTCACCTCACGTCACCCATCAACAACCTACAACGCTCTGAGTAGTCTCCAAGCATCTTGCCCTC